AGGATTTGAAGGTAGGGTGCAAAAGCGGGACGAGGAGACAAGTCAGGAGCTTGGGGCAAGAACTGGAGAGAGCAGTGAGAAAAAAAAAACAACACAGCACTACAATAAATCAAGCCTGAGCCAAGGTCTGTACCATTTACGTACAATTTTGCCGTGGATGATGTAACAAATCTGGATTAGCTATACTAAAACTTGGTCGAAAGCGCATCGGCTGCCGGTGCGAAGATACGTTTTTGCGCAGTCCCCCCGCAGGTTTCTGTTGCTAATGGCACTGTTTTTTCTGGCAGATGCTTTTAGCTAAGAGAATTGACAGTAGCCACCACGATTGCTAGAAATTATTACAATGACCCCCAATCCATGCCCAAAAAATCAGCACTTTAGATGCTTCGGTTGCGGAGTTACGTGAAGTTTAACATGTTCGTAAGTGAGTGGCAACATGAATGTTTTTGGCGTGCGATTACTCAAACACGGCCCTGGGCAGAGCTCAGAAAGTTGCAGCACTCCAACTGCTCTGGTTGCGAATTTACGTCAAATTTCACGTGTGTGTAAGTAAGACATGAAAGTGATGTGCTGGTCGTTTTTGCGTTCATATGGTCAAAGGCCATCGTCGGTTATGTTCAGAAAATACTGGTCCTTTAGCTGCTTCAATTTTGCATTAGAGGATAGCTTAATAACTGCTCATAATGTGTGTCACGCGGAGTGAACAGCGAGCGATAAATATAAAATACATGTGTTACGAGCAATATACGGGTGAGTTACGAGGGCATAGTGTAAATTATATGTGTTATGAATTTACTGTGAACCAGATGTTCCTCGTGTATACTGTGGAACCGAAACAGGAAAAGCTTGTGCGTATAGATACATAAAACTATTTAATTTAGAGCTAATTTTGTTTTACTTCTTATTATGCGTTTTGTACTGCGTAACATCAGAGCAAAACGCATATTGTCATTGGGATTGTCTGTGTGTGTTTGTATGTGTGTGTGTGTTTGTGCGTGTGTGTATCCGCAGCAACTTGTCCGCAACTTTCAACTCGAAAACCACAAAAGCTAGGAAGCTGAAATTTAGGGGGACGTCCCCCACCCATGTGTGACCAATAAATTTAAATTCGGCCTCTCCATACCCGCGGGTAGCAAGTGTGGTCTCGTAAAAGTTTAGGCTAGTAAAATTATTATCACGGGAAACACGGGATCTAGAAGGCTGAAATTTAGAAGGCATGTCCCCGCCCATGTGCTATCCAGGAAATTTAAATTCAACTTTCCCTTGCCCGGGGGTAACACGTACGACCCCGAGAAAATCTTGTCGGATAAATTATTACCTCGGAAACCATGGAATCTAGAGAACTGAAATTTTAGGGTTATAGCCTCCCGCCCACGAACGAACTTGCAAATTCAAATTCAATCACCTATGGGCCAGTAAAAATTTTTGCGGGTAAATTATTATCTCGGGAACCACGAAATCTAAGAAGCTGAAATTTTAGCGTGGTTTCCAGTGCCCACATGTAACTCCGCGAATTTTCAACGCGTCCGTGGAAGTTCCGGGGAGGAGAATCATTATGTCGGGAGCCACAAGTGCTAGTAGACTTAAAATTTTAGGAGAATGTTTCCTGTCTAAGCAGGGCTTCACAAGCTCAAA